GAATTTGAATTACATATCGTCAAACTAACTTAAGAAGTTTTTAATAAAAAAAAAAAGTGATTACTAAGCTACGAAAGCATTTTCCTTTATATATATATATATATATATTTGAGTATCAAAATATATATTCAAAACCTTTCATGAAAGGTGGGGTGTTGGTGGAATATGAATCCAATTAGATTGTCAGTATGCCCATTGGAGTTGCAACGCGAAACGATTGCAGTGCCATAACGCGTAGTTTGCGTATTGCGAGGTGCTTTTAGTCATCATGGATTAAAAACCATTTTGGATGTCTTGAGATTGTGAATTACGAAAGAAACATAGTTCTGAAAAAATTGTTATTCGTTGAGTAATAATAAGATGTAAGCAACTTTTTTCATATAATTTTTATATATTAAATAATATAAAAAGTTTTATAAAAAAATTATTTTTAAATTATTTTTCATTATTTATTTGTATGAAAAATGATAGACCACAAAGAGGATCTTACAATTGTCTAGGACAATTATAAAAAAAAAAAAAGGATCAAGGACAGGAATTAAGGTCTCATGGAGGAGCAAGCCCCTTCTTCACAAGCATGTCATAAACTCTATCAATCTTGCTCGGTTCCATCCTGAACAAGTGATGAGCGTCAGATTTCTTGGTGACCCTGCCGCTGAAGACCTCCTTCGAGATAACCTGTTGCATCTTTAGATAAACTGGTGGAGGTAATCTAGCTTCGATGCATAAGCGCTTCTCCTGGAAGTTCATTAAAGCAACCAGCTTCAGCAAATAGAACCAACCAATATGAAACAAAATGCTGTATATATGTAGTTGGCATTAGCGTGCTTACAGGTTCGGAGAGAAGTTCAGTTTCCTGGAATCCCATCATATCCAGAACACTGACACTGCTGGATGAACCCTGTCCTGCAGGTGCAGATGAACCTGGTCCTCCCTGACTGCTTGTACCAGCTTGAGCACCTTTTTCTCCCTGGGATAACTCTTTAGCTTCCCCTTTCCTTTTCTGTTCAAGATACCGGTCGGCCTCAGCTGATGTTCGACAACCAGCAGCTCTGGCTTCCTACATTGTTATGCATCAGAAGAAAATAAGGACTGCATTGTGCATTCAACAAAATAGTGGAAGTATGAAGTACTGCTAAACATAAATCAGACCTTCAGTTCTTGAATTCTTTTCAAAATTCTGTGCTCATTAACAATGGTCTGTAGCAAGTCTTCATGTTCTTCCTTCGAATGAAAGCGCATGAAGACATCATACCTCCTACATAGTGCTATCTCTTCAGGAGACAGGTCCTTGAAGAAAGGATTTGGATGAAGCAAATTTCTTTCGATTATGAACTTCTTTCTCCTTTCCCTTTCATCCAGCCTGCCCAAGTTTTTTCGATAATGATTTATGAGAAACTAAAACAGTAATGTAAAGTGAGTCCAAACCTTATCAAGTTATCAACATCCAGCCTACCTTTTGTTGTAGATGCGCAACACTCGCAACTTAAGCTCACGCTCTTCTTCTGTGTCAGTGTCCTTGAATTCCATGTCAACCAACAATTTCTCTGCATCATCATCATATTCAACATCAAACTCCTGTCTTTTAGGGTTGTAGCCACTTATCTCCATAAAAGCAGGGTCATCATTTCTTGAAGAGCTTGGTTTCTTCCCCCTCAAATTCCTGTCATCTTGGGGATCTATAATCAATAGCACAAATGACGTTAAAAATATCATTAGGGCATGTTATCCAGACAGTTCATGAATGTAAACAGTGAATGAGAAATGAATGATATGTACCTTCCATTTTAACAGCACTGGGGTCATCTTTTATGTGGGCTGTGGTTGCTGCAGTGCTAGAGCATGCCCCAGATTCAACCTCTAAAGTTTATCAAATGAGGGCAGGGGATATAAGAATTAAACTATAAGATTATTTTAAAAGATGTTGAAAGAACCAGAGAAATAATATCAACATTCATCTGCATCTGAGACAGATAGTTATCTAACCTTTCTTGTCTTTGCCATTTCCTTTAGCCATGGCAGCAATCTCCTCTTTGTTTTTGCCATCCATATGAGACATATCCTTCAAGGGGAAAAAGGAAAGAAGTCGTAAGAAGATTATTATTTTCATTATAAGTAACAATCAATAAAGAACAGACTTTGTCTAAGCTCTCTCACCGGCAGAGGGAAACATGGAGACTTCAGATATACATTTGTATAGTGTTCATTGCACTGTTCTTTGCTCTTTGTGCCCACATGGTCAGCAACATCTGCCCAGTTTCCCAGGCCATACATCTCAAGTCCCTAAAAAATAAAGAAATTTTGAGTATGAAGTATCAGTTACATGTTACTCTATATACGAAATACTGGCAGGGAAAATTTAGAGGAATTGACCACAACCTATTCATAGCTTTGAAATTAAACATGAAAATTCAAAAAGTACCTCTAGAAGCAATATTTCATCATTTGCAGTCCAGTCAGGGGAGAAAAGTGGGAATGATAAACTATCCTGTGAAGATAAAATTGCATAAGGGCATGAACAAAAAGTGACCACAGATTATTTAATTCAAAACTGTGTGAGAGATAAGTCTTATATTAATAGCCAAAACTACAACTAAAGATTTCTATGATGAAGAATGGAAAAAAATTAAAATTACAAAGAAATAAATGATTAAACAGAGATGTAAGCTAAAATACGAATAAAAGTGGACAAAAAATGTTCCTCAAACACAGGATGATGCTTTCTAAATTCTAATCATTGGAAACATAAACCATCAAAATTCTATAATTCAGCCAGTTATCTAGACAGAAAACTTTGCTTGAACGTTTACTAACCATAACCCTGTAACAATGGTTGCTTTTGTGAGGTGTCACCTCAACTCCAACTGAAAAGCATTGTACACATAGCTCAAAATCAGGACATTCAGCACACTTAATTCGGGTCTGTCCTGTTATGTCTTTGCTGCAATATTTGCAAGAGTACAAAACCCCTTTCCCTTTACTAGAACCTTGACCTGTAAGAAAAGGAGACAAAAGGTCACAAGTGTAAAAATCAATAAATAAATAAATAAATAAGACAATTCTGCCTGAACACTTGGAATACATGTTGAAATGCAAACTGAAGGCAAGCTTAGGTAGTGCGTGTGTGTGGTTGGACACTCAACCTTCATAGGTTCACTACCCATATGTGATTCTTAAGATCTTAGTAGCAGTCATCTGAAAAAAATTGTATCCTTATGCATTTTAAGTTTTTAACACTCCCATGATTTGAACTGATATTATACTTGGGGTTGAAATTTACCAGAAGAAGATGATTCTAAATTTTCTACGCTG